GTTCCTGAAGGGGAACGTCTCCAGGTTACGCATGTAACCCTAGTTTCCCAAGGGAACGAGACACTGCTTCTCAGTGCCATACTTCCGGCATCCCTGGGAGCGCTTGCTTCATTCCTTGAAGCTGACGCCACCGCACTTGCTTTTATAGCTTCCTGGTCACTACGTCACCCGCCCGTGACGTCTCGCCCATCTATTGGACTGATTACACATGTGATTCAGAGCGTGGTCACGCTGAAGGTGTTCCCATAGCGTTCGACGCAGCTCGAGTTCCTGAAGGGGAACTTTTTTTCTGTTATAGATTTTGTCAACATCAGCTAATCAACATCAAGATTTTAAGTTAAAAATGTATATGAAGGTGTATTGTAATAAATGTTTTAGAAGTAGAATAAAATAAAGATTTGTTTTATTTTAGAATAAAACCAAGATTATTAGCAAATCTAATCTTTGGTAGTATTTACCAAAAAATACTATTTCAGTGCTTCAAAGATTGACATGCAATTTAATGTTAATTACCATTTCTTAGTAATTAATTGTGAAATTTACTTGCAATTTCTGAGTGAAAATTGTCTATTGTAAATTTTAGGTACTGATTTTATATATTTTTTTTGTTTTTCAACATTGTAATTACCTTTGTCTAAAATAGTTGACTTTAATGGTCCTGCTGTGTGACAAATGAATGAACTCATTGTGTAATAATGTGTAATAATGCACATGTAATAATTGAATTTCATTCAAAGAGAAATTCCAGCATATCCTGTTTTTGTTCATTATTGGTTAAAGTTTTCAGACGTGTTGTTTGAGAGTTAACTGACTGTTAGAGTGAGTAGCCCAGTGAGCAGCAGCGATGACACTGGTATTTTAACACAGATATTATCAGATACACAGACTGTCTCGCAGGCCTGTAGTGTGTTGATTTTCATCCTGTTTTTGTTCATTATTGGTTAAAGTTTTCAGACGTGTTGTTTGAGAGTTCACTGACTGTTAGAGTGAGTAGCCCAGTGAGCAGCAGCGATGACACTGGTATTTTAACACAGATATTATCAGATACACAGACTGTCTCGCAGGCCTGTAGTGTGTTGATTTTAACACAGATATTATCACATACACAGACTGTCCCGCAGGCCTGTAGTGTGTTGATGCGGTCATGTGCTCGTGTAGCAGCCTGTGTGTCCCCAGTTCACCCGCAGATGGCCCTGCCTGACCCTGACTGGGTTAAAGCAGTGCTTCAGACCTCTGGAAGAGCCTCAAAAGACAGATGTGTAATGTGTGTGTGTGTGTGTGTGTGTGTGTGTGCAGTGGAGGTGTACAGCTGCAGCGCGGGCGACAGCGACTGCTCTCAGTGTTGGGGCCGTCAGACGCAGGGCCACATGTGTGTCTGGTGTGATAACAGCTGTCAACAGCGGGACCAGTGCCACGCCATCACCACACGCTGCCCAGACCTGAGCAGCAGTAAGGTTAGACAGAGACTTTAACTCCTGTTTCTCAGATGTTTCTTCTGTAGAGATAGTTCAGTTCTCTCTAAATGAAAATCCAGTCATTGTTTATTCAGCCTGACATTCTTCTGAAGTTGTAGAAGCTTATTTTGTTTTCTGGGCAGGAAACAAAGCATGCTATATTATTAAGACAAAGAAAAAAGGCCAGTGGCTTTAGAACAACACCGATATGATTGAATAATGACTCAATGGAACAGTTCCTTAAAGGGGTCATATGATGCGATTTCAATTTTTCCTTTCTCTTTGGAGTGTTACAAGCCTCTAGAGTTTCAACAATGTGTGTAACTCTGCTCAGATTCATCAATACTAAATTTTGAGTCAGCTTAAAATTAAACATTTATCTTGTTATCTGAGCTATGAGGTCCACATTACTTCTGTAATAAATTGCTGTCTAATGTAGTTTAGTCTTTTTTATGTTGGCAAGTTACGTGACACATCAAATGTACAGTTTTACATTTCCGCTATAAAGCATTAGTCTTTTATAATATTGTTCTATAACCAGCTAACGAGTCATAAAAAACAGAAGGGATCGGTTTGGGTTTGACATAAACAAACATGATTTAATAAGACAGTATAAGGGGTAAATATGCTGTAGTGCTTTTCCCTGAGGATTGATCACCACACACATGTGAAACAGACAGGAGAGCCGCACTGAGCTTGTGTTGGCTTCCTTCATGTTTTACAGGAGTGCTCAGATATAGAGCAGAGGTTCAGACAGATCCACTGCACAAACACGACACTGATCTAACCAACACAGCTCACAGCTTTTATTGTGCACGCTTCGGCAGTAGATGTTATTCTAGAGAAAAAACATATTTTATTTAAAGGGGTCATATGATGCGATTTCAAGTTTTCCTATGAACACGTATGTGATGCAATATTTAATCAAAATATTTGCAAGCAACATTTGCGGCTCTGACACATGACGAGAAGCTGAAAAAACACCTCTATTTAACACATTAAAAAGCAATAGCTAATGCCGAACATAGAGCAGCTTCTGTTTCTTTGTGCAGACTCCTGTGGTTGAGTTGAGTGATTGAGCTGGAGTAGTCCAGTCACGGTCCTCCTGTCAACAGCACAGGTTTGGCACCGTTAATTTCCTTTTCCTGTTTGTCCCTCTTCAGCTCCTCCTGCCTCACTTCCTGTCATCTCTCTGCTGACACTGCGGATGAAAGTGACCCAAAAAAACAAACAAAGCGTTTCTGTGTGTCTCTGTCATTCTTTCCTCTTTACGCACTCTTCATTTATAAGCCACAACACTCAGGCATTTGACCTGCACAGATACACAGAAACCTCTGCAAATCTGCTGATTCATCCGAAATGCACAACACATCTACATCTACTAAACAGCAGTCGGTCACAACAAGCACATTTTCTGTGCATATTAAACAGGAATATTTTCATACTTTACAGCATCATTAATGTACATTTGATCTGCAGTGTTGGAAAGATCACTTTGGAAATGTATCAGGTTACAGATTACAAGTTACCCTATTTAAAATGTAATAAGTATAGTGTAACTATTTCAATTACTTTATTAAAGTAATGTAACTGATTACATTTTATTATTTTTTGATTACTTTTCTACATTCCTAACAAATGTTTTCAACTGTCAGTCATTTGGAAACATGTAAAGCAGGCAGGGTTAACATTACAGTAGCACTCAACAAAGATTACTATCAGACTTTCAAAATCCTTTATCATTTTAATTAAAATTGTAAAAATGTAATTTTAAAACGCAGCCACCTCAAAATCAGACTTACTTTCAGATCATTCTTGGGTTAAATGCAGATTTAAAATCATAACAAGCAATAGTTCAGTAGATATGATACTGTTTTTGAAATCAAATCTTTGCATAGCTGTGACAGGAAACACTGGCATCTAACAAAGCCTTGAAAAAAAAACAGTCTTAAAAGATAAAGCATATACATAATCCCAAATAGGAAATAAAACAGTTTGGTAACACTTTATTTCGATAGTCCACTTCAGACATTCTATTAACAGTAAGTAACTTTGCAACTACATGTCAACTAGCAGTTAGTAGAGTATTAGTAGACTGTCTGCTTAATATCTTCTAACACTTTCTTTGTCAACATTCTACTAACCCTAAACCTACCCTAACAGTCTACTCTGAGAGTTAGTAGACATGTAGTTGCAAATTAATGAGAATTAGTTGACGTAGTTGACATGTAGTTACAAAGTTACTTATAGTTAATAGAATGTCTAAAGTGGACTATCGAAATAAAGTGTAACCCAGTTATTGAATAAGCATGTGTCCTAAACTCCTGAAGCATTGGTGTGTCATATTTTAGAGCAGTCAATGCAAATTGGGAAAGAAATCAATCAAATCTGTATGTGTGTGAAAATCTTCAGATGTAACCCCCTTTGTAATTGTTAACATTTTCATAAGTTACTGTAATTTAATTAAAAAAAATTCTCAGTAACTGTAACTAATTACCATTACATTTATTTTGTAATTAAATTACGTATTTCCGTTATGTAAGTACTCTCACACACTGTTGATCTGAGCGTCACTCTCAGCTCTTACATTTAACCCTGCATATCTGTAGTTTCACAATATTACTGTTTTTATTGTATAAATGCAGTCTTGGAGACTTTTTTCAAAAAAAAAAAAAAATCCTAATTATTCCAGTCTTTTGACCAGTAGTGCACTTTAGAAACACATGTGAGCATGCGTGTGTGTGTGTGTGTGTGTGTGAGAGAGAGAGAGAGAGAGTGTGTGTGTGTTTTAGGTGCACAGATTGTTTATGAGTGAAGTTGTTTAGTCTGAAGTCTGAATGACCCAAGCCATGATGAACATATACACATGTTGGGTTTATGATAACTGTTCTGCCAGGATTTCAAAATAAATCGTGAGCTGATCTTCCCACTCACTCCTGCAGTGTCTCGGCTCTCTTCTGTGTGAAACTGACTGACCTGTAAGCATTTTCTCAGTTGACTAGCTGTGGTGTCTCAGTCAGTGTGTGTTGATGTGTAGGTCGAGCCGCTGTCGGGGCCGCTGACCGGCGGGACGCTGCTCACGGTGCAGGGCAGGAACCTCGGACACAGCGCCACTCAGCTCAACGTCTCCATCGGCCATGTGCCCTGCAGTGTTCTGCCACAATACTACACTGTCTCAGTCAGGTACAGGACACAGATCAAACACTCACACCCTTCATATCTACAGACACACACTACCTACTGTTAACCATGTTTAACCACGTCCTGCACTGAATGACAAATCCATCACTGCGCAGAGCGTCATTTGGATGTGATTGACAGTTCAGACTGATATAATGTTGATTTGAGCTTCACATGATGTCAGAGTTCATCTGTGCTTCAGTTTTTACACTGGACACTGTTTATTGTGCAAAAGTACACAAAAATGATTCATTTAGCATCAACTGGAATGTAGGCAGAAACTATGTTTATCCTTGTTGCAGGTGAGCCATATTTAGTGTCATCTGGATTGTGTTGTAATTGTATTCATGGTTTTTGAGGGCGTCACACAGCTAATTATCCAAGCTTCACCAAATGACAGATGAGTTTATGGCTCGTGATCCAGCAGTTTGTGTGTGTCGCTACAGGTTGGTTTGTGAGACTGGTGCATCGTGGGAACAGACGAGCGATCATGTGACAGTGAGAGTGGCCGGAAACGCTGTGGGCGTTTCAAAGGACATCTTCTCCTTTGTGGTACGTGCAAGGCTTTTGTTCTCTGTTGATTTCCATTTCACACCCTCAGACTGATGATCCTCTCCTGCATTCACTCTTTTGTCTTCATCCTGATTTATTTTCCCATCACACCCTTCGTTGTGTGTTAGACCACCCTCTCATGAGATCTGACAGATCTCCACACTTTCACCAAACGTTTGCGTGATAGGACGGCACGTTTGACTGCATGAACTCAGCTGATTGAGAGGAAGGACTTTGGAAGGGCTTTGCTTTGTTTTGTCTGATGGAGTTTCTGGGCCGATGTCATTTTCACACGGCATTGAGAGATACGGTGGCACATGTGGTTTGTTTTATAAATGAATGTGAAGGAACAGAGTGTGATTTGGCGCTAGCGAGCAGATCCAAACTGAGTCATCAGACTGATTTTCTTGTGCTGATTTTAGCAGCAAACCTGTGGACAGTGGCGGCTGGAGGAAAATGTTCTAGGTGGGGCGCCACGTCCAACAATTTTAGCATACATCCCAGTATGATTTATTCCAGTATAACAAAAGGAAAAATATTAAGACTTAAATAAAGATAATTGTTTTACCAAGTTCAAGATTAAGTTTGAGGATGATTCTCACAAAATTATATTTTCTGCAAGAATTTGTCCAGACAAATTAAAACATTTTTTAATTTCCATAATTCACAATTTATGTATACAGTGCAACAGCAAAAACTGTGAGGAAAAAAAATCAATCTCACATTTATTTAGATCATTTTCTATAACTACAAGTCAAGCTGAGTACCAAACAGAACCACACGGAGACAACAGACAACAGACCACTATACCAGTCACCTTGATCTGACTGTATATAAACATATACGGATCCATTCAGAATTATTAAACAGAGCAAAACACAAACTAAAAAAGTAAATAAAAACATTCGGTCCCACTTTATATTAAGTGGCCCTAATACCTGTGTACTTGCATAGTAACTAGATGTGTACATGGTACACATTGGTACATAGTATCTATAGATGTAATGTATTAAACAGAGCAAAACACAAACTAAAAAAGTAAATAAAAACATTCGGTCCCACTTTATATTAAGTGGCCCTAATACCTGTGTACTTGCATAGTAACTAGATGTGTACATGGTACACATTGGTACATAGTATCTATAGATGTAATGTTTGTGTAACTACACATATGTAACAACCCACTGAATGGTATGTGTAAATACAAATGTGTAACAGGACATTGGTAACAACACTTTTAGGTAATGAAAGTACAAATGTGTAACAGGACTAACAGCACTTTTTGGTAAAGAAAGTGTTACACTTTATATTAAGTAAACAATTCCTATGGATTTACCATGTGATTATTTTGATGTTACACAGCAGCGGCCAGTAAGTTAGGCGTTACATATAAATTGTGGTTGGTGTCCAGAATGTTACACTTTATATTAAGTGAACAGTTCCTGAGGAGTTACCATGTAAGGACACTGGTATTACAGTGGTGCACCAAATCCACCAACTTGAGATCCAACTCCTCCCACTTTACATATCCCTAAACCTACCCATCTCCACCCCCTGGATCCCATTTCCACCCCTAAACCTACCCATCTCCACCCCCTGGATCCCATTTCCACCCCTAAACCTAATATCTACAGCTGTAATATTTCTGTAACTACAATGTACCAATATGTACTTACACTGTGGTTACATACTACGTACACATCTAGTTACTATGTAAGTACACAGGTATTAGCGCCACAATATAAAGTGGGACCAAACATTCTGAATTTGTTGAATGTGGTGATCTGAGGGCAGCTCATAATGACCAGTGAACAGTTCCTCTGTCAGAGTGAGTGTTGATATGTATATAAACACCACTGACCATTGCAAACTCCTATAAAAACAAGCTTCTTCAGCAAGTGTCCATTATAAAACACTTGCCAGACATGCAACCAAACTAAAATGTGCCCATACAAAAAGCTATCAGAGAGCGCACATACATGGTCTGTTTGTTTGCACATTAATAATAACGGATTTGCGCGTCTAATATTGTATGATTGCGGTGTCACTGTAATCGTCTTTACCTCCATTACAATCGTCATCCATCTAAACTTCACTGGTAAAATACTGGTTTGCTTCATTCAGCCCTTACAGACTAGTCCTGACTTCATATTTCTTATTAATAGAGCTAGGTTTGTTCCCACCAATCGCTGCACAAGTTAAGGTTACATTCCCTCCCAGAACTCAAAGAGATTGCATTGCAGTGCCTGCAGCTCGAAAAAAAAAAATATGGAAGTCTATGAGAACAGTCGGGTGATTCTCGGCCAGAGAGTTCACCCAAAAAGGGATGGTACTCCACAACATGACTCGACGCTGATTGGACTATATATCCAGAGGTAGAACAAACAGCCTAGAACAGTGACAGCTGTCGCTGAATATGATAGAGTTTTGGTGGTGCATTGCCCTGTTGCCCTAATGAAGACACCGCCCCTGAGGACTGAGGAATCTGGTGGAAAAATGGCAAATGTATTAAAGAGATCTGAGAGCAGCCTGGGGATGATTGAGCTTAAACTGCTAGCTGTCTTTTGGACAGTAGCTGGTTTTTAGCAGGTCAACCTGCCACCTTTTTACAAAACAGCTTGAGCACTTTCAGCCGTTACGAGCAGCTGGTTTCTTACTGGTTCAGCATAATCAGTCAGCTTCAACCAGTTTATTCCTAGGTTGCATCAACAAGAAACCAGCCACCATGTTCCAAAACACGGCTGGCAGCTCGAGGAAACTCACAACGGGTCAGACCCAAAGCTCTCCAACACACTAAAGACTCTGAGGCTACCCAAGACTGGTTTTAGTGTGAAATGGAGCTGGAGCAGGACTGGAAAACAGGATCAGAAATGGTAAAGAGGAAAGGCAGGAAGAGGGATGTGAATGTGGACTCCTCCAAAGCTCCTTCCTCAAACCTTCCGCCGCTTCAGTCGCTGAGCTCAGGAAACATCTGGCTGAACAACACACACTCACACACACTTATGCTTTCATATGCTCCTCTTGACCCTCTACCCCCACAGGATGTGATGTCATGTGTGGTCTGTGTGTGCTGTATATGTTCACATGTGTAGCAGCGCTGACATTCACTCTGCATGCCACATTACTTCTCAATGACATGCTAGTTTAAACTAACCTTCCAGAACCATTTATGGTTCTTGATGTGATCAAAGCTGCTGCCCTCTGACTTTATCAACACAGCTCTTGCTGGTTAAAACATACTGAAATGTGCTCGCTATGCTACAGCATTCAGTAAAAGCCTTCTTGATAGAAAATCCAGCTAAAGCCTGCTGGAAGTGGAACATAACAGTGGGTTTGTAGCTGTTCCTTGCTGGTTTTAGCTGCTTGGCTGGTAGACCTTCAGCCTGTCACAACAGCTGTATTTTGGAAAATAGTAGCTGATTTGTTGCTGGTCTGCCAGCTCTTTCCAGCGTGACACTTAGTCAGATCTCGGACTGGAATGAACCACAGTTTGTGATTGAACCAACACTTTAAAGTAGGGATGCACGATATTTTCGCAGGGATGCACTATTTATCGGAATCGGCCGATAATGGCTTAAAATGTAAACATCAGCATCGGCCAATTTGAAAAAATTATGCTGATATGCCTTGCCGATAAGATCGATTGCTCACATGTGCTCAGGGTGTGATAGTGTGATAGTGACTTGTGTTTCTGAATAAACAAAGTGGTATCAATGTCATAAATTCACGAGTCTGTTTTGATTTAAAGGCCAGAATCTGTAGTTTACATGAATAACAATTACAAACACTTATACAGTTATAACACTTATACTATATACAGATTTATTCATTAATAAGTAATATATTTTATCAAATGGATTATTTAAACTTATATACAATGTTCTCTCATTAAAAAAATAACTTTAATAATGTTTATTAGTTCTTTTTGCTCATATATAACCAAAATTAAAAACAATTTGTTTATAGTTTCTGCACAGGAGAGACTTGCTGTTGTTTTAAAATAAAGGGAAATATATTTCTGTCATGACAACTCTCGGAGGGATTGGTATGGTAATGTACATGACAATGTTAATGTATTTGGTCTTGGCGGAATAGATCTGCTACGCTGCTGCTGCGGCAGAGCAAGCACCGAGACTTGCTACTGCCAATACATCCACAACATGCTGCTGTGAGCATGTAAGAAATACTGCTGCTGCACATATAACATACATGAAATAACCCCCATATAGCATACATGAATCACCTCGTAGCAGATCTATACAGGTGGAGCTGGGGAAGGTGGAGGGTTTCTGAAGCACGCTGCAACTGCTACGGCAAGCACTAGTCATATATTTGAATGTTGAGCAGCGAGCTCATTGGCTACCGATACAGAAGAGAACCTATCAGCTGTGCCATGTGATTATGATGTTATTAGGTCAGATTGAGTTAGACCTATCGAACTGCGCCATCTAGAGTTTCATGCCAGAACTTTGTATTTATCCATACACATTTGTATATATCAGCATCGGCTATCGGCCAAAATGATTTGAAAAATATCGGCATATCGGATATCGGCAAAAATCTAATATCGTGCATCCCTACTTTAAATAATTTTTTTCTCGGCCCTCCATGGCACAGGAGCCCAGACTGCTGGAGTTCACACCGCAGCAGGGTCCCCTCGCTGGAGGAACCAGACTCACCATCCACGGCCAGTTCCTGGACGCTGGATCCACAGTCAACGTCAAGATCAACCGGACTCAGAACTGCACCATCTTCATGTGAGCGCGTGTTCGTGGCGGTTCGTGTTTCACTGATATATCACGCATCTGCTGCTCATCACGTCTGTGGTATGCTTCTGCAGGCTTTCCAGTGACGTCATCGAGTGTGTGATGCCTCCAGCCGAAGCGGCCGCCGCTGAGAACGTGTCGGTGTGTGTGGTGTATGACGACCGGCCGTGCCTCAGCGCTTCACCCAGCTTCACATTCACCTACGAGAAAAACCCTACTATCAGTCACATCAGACCCAACAAAAGCTTCCTCAGGTACTGAACGCACACAGGACAGCAGTAGTCAAGTGCTGCTGTTTATAAACATTTATACCACGGTCTGTCTGAATACTCAATTCTGATTGGCTGGTAGGTATGCATTAAAACCATTTAATGCACGAGTAGTTCCAAGTCAGTTCAATCACCGTTCCATATTAATGCGCTGCTTTAATTGCTGCACACAAACCCACACACATCACACACACAAACAAACACACACACAGGTTGGAGAACTGCAGAAATAACTGTCATTTTTACCCTTCCGGTCAAATATTGTGCTGTGCACATCATTAACAGCTTTAACTTGTCAGTGCTGGCAAATGACCATGGTATAAGCAGGATAATACATGGCTAGCTGTGCATCAAACAATTTTAATGCGCTTCACGTCAGGTGGTTCTTGGCCTCCACGTCATGCATTACAATCGGTTAATGCACAGCTAGCCGTGCATTATCCCTTACATATTGCATACTGTGCACAATACTGCCTACATGCAGCAGAATCAGTAGTATGCTAGTATGCATACTACTCAGAGCCTTTGTTTGAACATGCAATTGTGATGTGATGGTGTTGCAGCGGTGGTCGCAGTATCTCGGTCACTGGATATGGCTTCAATCTGGTGCAGTCTGTCAGGATGGAGGTGTCTGGAATCGGACAGACGGTGAGATGAATAATGCTTTGTTTATAGATAGAGATCAAAGTGCTGGTGTGTGTGTGTGATATTTCAGTCTGTGCGCTCGTTCATACAAATGTCATTTCCGCAGATCTGCTCCTGTGTGTCATCTACTCTGATCGTTTGTCAGTCTCCTGCCACCAATCAATCCCAGCAGGCCACCGCTCACTTCTACCTCAACGAGGTGCTGTACAGAGGAGAGGACGCGTCTCCATCAGGACGAGGGCCGGACGAGGACGAGGAGCCTCACGCTGATGCCTTTCACTTTGACTATGTAGAGGATCCGCAGTTCTATACAGCCAACAAAGAGAAACTCATCAAACATCATCCTGGAGAGCCTCTCATCCTCATCATCAATGTGAGTGTGTGTGTCGATCATCTAGACCTAGACGGCATCTTAAACTAATAATTCAAACAAAAATGAAAACATACACTCCTTCCTTTGATCATAGATGTAGATGAGTTTGTTTGTTCATTGGAACAGATTTGGAGAAATTGCATCAGTGTCTCAGCAATGGATGCTCTGCAGTGAATGGGTGCCGTCAGAATGAGAGTCCAAACAGCTGATAAAAACATCACAATAATCCACAAGTAATCCACAGCACTCCTGATGGACTGGAGTGCTGTGGATTACTTGTGGATTATTGTGATGTTTTTATCAGCTGTTTGGACTCTCATTCTGACGGCACCCATTCACTGCAGAGCATCCATTGCTGAGACACTGATGCAATGCTACATTTCTCCAAACCAGATGAAGAAACAAACTCATCCTAATCTTGGATGGCCTACATCCATTTCCAGCAAATGTTCATTTTGTCTCAACTATTCTTTTAAGGCACCGTTGATTCACCGCTGTGTTCCGGAAGGTAGTTTGTCTTCCTTGTTCACTGAACTTTATCTGTGAACCAATAATGGTATTAATATCATTATTGGTTCACAGATAAAGTTTAGTGAACAAATCCATACAAGACGGATGATGAATGTTGATTATAAATACACTAGGGCTGAGAATAATAGTAACAGTCCGCACCTATCCTATGGTCTGCCATGACAAGAGTAGTTGACCATTGTTCACACACACACACACACACACACACACACACACAC